AAAGCTGAGGAGGACCTGTTCCCTGGAGATAGAAGGACCAGAATAGAGGTGAATGGATGCTGGGTAGACTCCACCCCACAGAGGAGGAAGGAAGGAAGGAAGGAAGGAAGGAAGGAAGGAAGGAAGGAAGGAAGGAAGGAAGGAAAGAAGGAAGGAACTAGAGATGTATTGGTTACCCCTATGTGCCAGAGTATGTGCATACATTATCTTATTTCATAACCCTAGGAGGTAGGTATTCTACGGCCAGGTTATAGATGAGGAAACTGGAGCTCCTAGGAGTTCATTACACACTCAAAATTGCCCAGCTGGTGGAGAAAAGGCTGTGCTTTGTAGTTGGCATTGAACGAAAGGGCATCTGGCTTCATGTGCACAGCCAGCGTGTACTGTGCTGCGTCCCTCCGTGCTTGCTCTGCTTCTGCAGTCGGGCTGCTCTTGGCAGTTATCCATTTTTCTATTGGGGTCTGTGCCTTTTCTTTACTGACTAGTAGGATGAAAAATACATGGCCATAGTCAGCTGCAGGGGGTCTGTAATGAGAAGTGCACAGGACTAAATGTCTGCCTTCCCCATCTGACTGTAAATTCCTAGCCGGGTAGGGATTATTATGTCTTACTCACATTTGGGTCCCTGGATTCTAGCTCAGCTTTAGATTGGGGGAGGAGGAGGGGTTCAGGATATCTGAATTCCAGTCTTGAATTTGTAACCCAATGCGCAGGCTTCTTGGCCTCCCCACCGTCTCACAGGGCACCTGAGGCACCTCTTAACCCCAAGGGTTCCCCAGATAGTTTGGCCATTGCTGGTGGGGGATGGGATGCTTACTGAGGGTCCTTTGGACCTTAACATCGTCTGGTCTGTGCTGAGAGCTCTGCTGGTTGTACACGCTGGTCTGCCTGAGAATTCCAGAGCCCATGACCTTCTGTGTTGGAAGCTGCCCTAGACAAGCCTTGGTTTCAGGAAAGAGTCCGAGGGGGATGCCTGTCTCACCTGAGAAGTCCAGGAGTAGAAAAGGGAGCACCCAAATTCCTTCTCACCATGTTCTTCCCACAAACTGACATTGAACCACCCTGCATGGACTTGGGGACGGGCGTCTGGGCCCCGAGATTAGGCTTGTGGCTCCCATCTGGAGTCATCACACTGGCCCCTCTCCATCTAGCTGTGACAGCCATGCAGATCTCTTGCATCCAGGCAGCTCTAGAGGGATAGGCACAGGCAGGAGAGAAGGGAGGCTGCCTCCACCCCACAACCCCCTCCCAGCTTCCCAATCACATCAACAGTTTCTCTCGGCATTGTTTCCAGTGCCATTAATATTCATAAGCGACTTTTCTATTGTGTTTGCAATTTTCCAGCAGATCGACAGGCCCACACTCCCCTGTGTTAATAGGATGCAAAGCTCACCAACTCAGATCTTATTAGCAAATCTCCATTAGATACCCGGCCCGTCTGGGCTGCCTGATAGGCGAGCTTTCCACCACGGGTGACAGCAGGAGCAGGTCTTAATCCAATATGACTTTGCAACACCCACTGCTGAGACAAACCCGAGGAGGAGCTTGGACCAGGAGCGGATCAAGGCTGAGCTGGGCATCCAGTTACGGGGTGAAAATGGTGTAGCTGGAGTGGCCAGAGCAGAGGGGCCGGTGTGGGTTGGGTTGCCTCTCCTCCTAGAAAGAGGCACTTCATCAATTCTTTCTTTCAATCACTTGGACTTTCATTCAATAAAATAATCACTGAATGTTTTCTGTTTCCTGTGTGTCAGGCCCTGGGCTGAGTGCTGGGATATAGGTTTGACCACGACCTGCTTTCTTCTTCTGAGTGCTTGGGAGGTACCTGTGCTAACAGAAAATTGCCCTGTAGCAGATGCTATGGAGAGGGAAGCACAGGGTGCTTTGGCCTCCAGAGAGGGGCAGACAAATCTGACAGGGCTTAGCAACATCTGGAAACAGGTGAGCAGGACATGGAAAACATGGGTGAGGGGCATAGAGGCTAGAAGTCTTTCGCAGTTCTACCTTGATCTTGGAGTTACTTTCCAGCACTTACTAGCTGCATAACCTTGGCCATGTCTCTTCTCTGTGCTGCAGCCCATCTGTAAAATTGGAATAATAGTGGTACCTTCTTCCTAGAGTTTATATGAGGATTAAATGGTGCTTGACACATAGGAAGCCATATGGAAGTATAGCTAATACAATTATTATTTCTTTAGAGAGCTCCAGGGTTGCTCCCAGCTCTAATATTCTTCAACTGAGCCTCAGTTTCTAAATTGTAGGAACAAGCCTGATGTGTGTGAAAGTGCCGGGCTCTCTCTGGTTGCACACAGGCTCTCGTTAGCTCTGTGGCTGCTTGTTGGAAAGTCAGGGCATTTGGCAGGCACTCAGAGAGAGGGGCTGTGTAACTCCAGTCCTAAACTCATTAGCCACAGGGGCAACCTTGGTGTGGATGAGGTAAATCCAGGTCCTGGATGAAAGAAAGGTGATCAAACTCTGAGTAGTTAGGGAGCTGGAGTAGATGAACTGCAGGGAGTTTTTCTAGGTCTGAAATTTGGTGACCTGAGGTACAAGGCCCAGACCCTACCCTCCAGGTGCTTGAGATCAAACCGGAAATGTAAGTCTGCCATAGGTCAAATGCACCCAGTCCACCCTCTAATGATGGACACGTGTGGGTCCCTTGGGCAGGCTGCATGGGAGAGGAAATCCCTGAGGTCTGCGGCAGTCAGGGAGAGCTCCCTGGAGGGGGCAGGACTTGACTTGAGCTGAGCTTCTAAGAAGGGATAGCATGTGGAAAGGGAAAAGGGAAAGCAATCCAGGTGGTAGGCACAGTAGAGGCCAAGACCTGGAAAAAAGGCTGGCGGTTGGGGAGTGAGTAAATGGAGGGAGTGAGCTAGGAAATACCCACAGTCCTCAGGAGGCCAGGAACCAGTCTCTGTTTTGTTGGCTCAGTGTTTAAATTTTAAAATATGAAAACCTTCAGGGGCGCATGAAAGCCTCCTTGCCACAGTCCTCACCAATCCTTATCAAACCACACCAGGCCCAGTGCACACTTTTAACTTACCTTAAAGAACCTTTTTGGTGGAGATTCAAGCCCCAGGTGAAGGCTGGACCATTTGGATCTAAAGGCTCTAGAAATTGCCTTGAGAGTCTGGGCCTTGGGGGAGCTGTGTTGTCCTAGGGCCTAAGGCTCTTGGGCTGGCCGAAGAGATGGTGGAGTGGCCCCTCTCTCACCCGCAATAAGGCAGCTGTGTCTCTTAATCCCTAAACCCGCTTTGGCCAAATGCCCAGACACCCATCCTTTACGGAAGGAGAATTGCTGGCTGATGGATTGCCAAGTTCATGTGCCAGCCTCTGCAGTTCAAAATGATCTGGAGCTGTTCTTTGCTCACCCTGGAGCCCCAAGTCTACCTCCAACCCCACCCCACCCCCCTTTTCTGTAGGCTGCGGCAGTGACACTGGAAGTTGCCAGCCATCTCCAAATGCCTGGGGATAAAGAATGGGGCTAATAATATACCTGTGAGAAGTGAAAAGTTCTTTAAACTCTCTCTGTTGGTTTCAAGCCCTAGGATGTTTCTCACCTACAAATTCCTCTGTGTATTCGAAGGCAGTTGAAGTCTGGATGGTTTGCAGTCAGTGGGCCCAGGAGGGGCAACTTTGGATTTCCCTCTATAGCTGGGGTTTGCTAGGAAGAGAGCACAGATGAGGAGGAGGGGGGAGCAAATGTTAGATGGGCAGTGAGACTTAGTTGTTGGGGACATGGGCTTTCTGAGACACAGACTCCTGGGCTGGGACTCTGAGTCAGCTGTTGGAAAGCTGTGTGACCTTGAGCAAACCCCATAACCTCTCTGAGCCACCGATGAGGTGGTTTTGGGGACTAAGTTAGCTGATGCATGTAAAATACTCAGCAATGAGCCAGCCATATAATAAGGCTCTCAAAAAAGAAGAGCTATACTTACTGTTACTGTTAGTTTGGGGTCAGCTTCGTGGGGTCCTCAGTTGGTAGACAGCTGAGCTGTTCCAACTTTGGGAGAGTCGTTGGAGCATGGCTACTCTGCCATTTGACCTCAGGCTGCACAGATCTAAAGGATGCTAGGGAGGGAACTCTGAGGCATTGTTGAGCCTGCCAGCTGAGAAAGAGAAATGGCTTCCACAGGCAGCTACAGCCGACTGGCCGCTCCCAGAATGCTCTGGGACAGGTATACAGGGACTCTCTGGGGTTAAGGGTCATGCAGTCTTACCATGCAGAACTGAAGCATCAGAAATGTCACAGCTGTCAGGACAGTCTTGGGGGCCATGCAGGCCAACCCCATCAAAAGAAAAAAATTTTTTTTAATCATTTGTATTAGTTTTTCATTGCTGCTGTAACAAATGACTACAAACTTGGTGCTTTAAAATACCATAAATGTATTCTGTCACGGTTTTGAAGGCTAGAGGTCCCAAATCAGTGTCACTGGCAGCCATCGAGGTGTCCGTAGGGCTGTGCTCCCTCTAGAGGTTGTAGGGGGACAGTATGGTGGCCCTTACCTCTTTCCACTTCTGGGGGCTGCCAGCCCTCACTGACTTGTGGATGCAGCATTCGAATCTCTGCCTCTGTGGCCACGCTGCCTTCTCTTCCTCTGTGTGTATCAAATCTCCTTCTGCCTCCATCTTATAAGGATACATGTATTTGCATTGAGATCCCACCTGGATAATCGTCCCATGTCAAGATTCTTAATTATATTTACAAAGTCCTTCCCCCCCTCTTTCTGCCATATAAGAACATGAATATTTTGGGGGGACCATTAGTTAGCCTAACATATCATTAAAAGTTTTTTTTTTGAAGATACTTTAGACTTACAGAAGAGTTGCAAAACTAGTACAAAGAGCTCCCATAAACCCTGCACCCAGTCTCCCCTTATGATTATCTTATAGAAATAGAATATTTATTACAATTAAGAGGTTCAGCTTATTAGAATAGTACTAGCTAAATTTCAGAGTTTATTTGAATTCAGTCAGTTTCCACCAATTCCTTTTTTTTTTTTTGTAGCACTACGGTTTATTAAGCTCTGCCTTAGTACAGGCACTGGGGCTTTCCCATGGTGCTCTTGATATATAAAGCTCGGACATTCTGCCAGTTCTTTTTGAGCAATGACACCAGGAAATTGACAGCTAAGTGGATGTTGTACACAAGCTCATCATCTGTCATTTTCACGTGGCCGACTGCCACTGCCAGACAAAGCACCTTCTTCATCTGGAACTTGACGGTGGATTTCACTTCATCGACTTTGGCCACCATATTCTCATTGTGGGTCAGCAAGGAAGGGAACTTGCCAGCTTTATTCAGGCCTGGGCCCAGGATTCGTGGAATCTGCTTGATCAGAGACTCTGAAGCCAAAAAGGCATCATACTTCTTGGCCAGCTTTTTGACCAGTTTCTTATTCTTGTCCACCAATTCCTTTTTTTATCCTGATTTAGGATCCCATCCAGGATGCCACATTTCATTCAGTTGTTATGTCGCCTTGGTCTCCTCCAATCTGTGGTATTTCTTCGGTCTTTTCATTGTATTTTATGACCTTGACTCTTTTGAGGAGTGCTTGTCAGTTATTTTGTGAAATATTCTTCAATTGGGCTTGTGTTTTCAATATGATGTTTTCTCGTGATTATACTGAAGTTATGCCTTGTTGGGACGGGTACCTCAGAAGGACATACGTCATCGAGCATCGTGTCAGGGTACATGATGTTGATATGTGTTAGTAACACGTAACTAGCGATGTCAAACTTCATCTCCTGGCTAAGGTGGTATCTGCTGGATTTTCCACTATAAACTTACGATTTTACCCTTTAGAATCACTCACTGTTTGCGGGGAGAGGCTTTGAGACTATGCACATATTCTGTTTTCTGCCTAAACGCTCGCCCACTAATTTTAGCATCCGTCAACCGATCTTATCTGCGACAATTATCATGGAGGTTTTCCATTTCCCTCATTCCTTCTACGTTTATTACTTGGAATTCTTCTATGAGGAAGAATGGTATCTTTCTCCCTATTTATTTATAGCTATATGGACGCATGGATATGTATTTTATTCTTTGGGTCAGAATTCAAGACTATTTTGATTTATGTTTTTGCTCTGCTTGTTCCAGCGTGGGCCATTGGGAGCTCTTTTGGGTGGACTCCTGTGCCTTTTTGATACGCCCCTATCCTTTCTTTCTGTTTTCTTCCTTTCTTTCCTTCCATTTGAGGGTGAGTTCCCTTTCACTCTGTGAATATAACATGTGGCCTTACATGGGCTTAGAAATCAGTCCCAGTGCTTCTGAAGAAGGTTTCTGACGGACAAGGACATTTTAGGTCAACATTTTCAGCACTTAGACCTGGCCAAGAGCATAAGACATACTCAAAAACATGAATTTTCTTGGTTCCCTTTTCCTCTCAGTCCCCTTTCCTCTCCATTCCTGGGTCACTGACGGTCTGGCCTTCTCTCCCAGAGCAATTTCATAGGAGGCAGGTGAATGTCATATTAGGAAGGTGGGCTTTGGAATCAGACCTGGGTTCAAATCCTGTCTCTATTGCTTCTTTGCTCTGTGACTTTGGGCGGCTGACCTACCCTCTCTGTGCCTTGTAAAATGGGGATGATGGACTCAACTTCATAGGACTAGTGCGATATTACAGAAGATACTAGATGCTTGAGAAACACGGCTGTGACTGTTACAGCCTCCATAATGGTTTGGAGAAAAAAACCAGACAAAGTCAGAGGAGGATGGATCTTTGGGGTCAGCCTTGTTTCAGGAGGAGCCCGATTTTAAGTGTTCATTTCAATTAGAGAGGATTTGCTAATTCCATAACTATAGGTGATTTAAAATATATGCATTTGGACAGTGTAGAGGCCTGACTACTGCACTGTACATCTGAAGCTGCCGTTGAATAATATTATATGTCAACTATAATTTAATACATATATAGTCATGGGATGTGGAGTACAGTATGGGAATGGAGTCATGGAATTGTAATAGATATGTATGATATTGGGGCGGGGGAGGAGTGGATGGGGGAGGGGGGTTGTCACTTTGTGAGGGGTGAAAAAGATCACTACTGCATTGTTTTGTACACCTGAAACTAATAGTAATAATAAAAATTAAAATTAAAAAAACAAACAAAAAAATAAAATAAAATATATGCATTTGTGAGCCTTGGCCTGTAAACATATTTGCAGATAAGAAAAAAAGATCCTCTATCAGACCATATGTTCTCTTTTTTGTTTTTCATGTTTCATGCACAGGATGCCGTGGGTCCTGGGATTCGGAGACCCCCCATCTGCCTCACCGAGCAGCCCTCCCCTTTCCCTCTCTGCCTCCTCAGCCCAGGGAAGGCAAACAGAGTGCAGCAGCCGCGAATAGCTTCCTTCCTGATTGGAAGAAAGAGCCTGATGTATTAACGACCACACTTAACATGCCTCAATTTTAATCCCTGCTTTAAATTTGGCACAATTGTTTCTACAATAAAGCCTGATTTTCTCCACAATAGGGTGCTGAGGGTATGTGCTCTCCATTCAAACACAAAGAAAGCCCACTTTACTTTTTTTTTTTTAAAAAAAGAAATAATAAAAATCAGCCTTTGTCGTACTAGAAATTCATAGATTCAAGTCAGATGTCAGTGTTCAATAACCGCCTCCTCTCCCTTCCTCCACATCCCTCTCGGCCTCCCCTCATTCTACAAACATTCCTGAGCACCTACTGTGTGCCAGGCAGGAGACCCAGAATGACTGCAGCACATGGTTGTCGTCCAAGAGGGAGAGCTGACCTCCTCAGTGGACCGCAGGCTAAAGGTGCGTGAGCTACACCCAGACCCTGTAAACCAGATCCATGGGCTCAGCGTTTCTCAAAGTGTAGGTTCCCTAGATGACTTCAGGTGCTCACAGATCTGGCATCAAGTCTCCCCGAATTGTGAGTGAGAAGGTCACTCACTTTTGAAATAATTTTCAGTCCTGGTCCTGGCAGGAGAAAGACTCCGGTGGGGGCTGGTGTGTCCTTAATACCACTCTAGCCCTTGTCAATCCCCCCTTTTAACAAAGCGAGCAGAGCTTAGGCTCACAGGCTTTCCAGGCCATCACCCTGCCATTGCTATATTTATTCTTACAGTCATGTGGTATTGTGGAGAGTGATTCTGGTGTCCCTGTGCAGGAGAGAGAGAAAAGGTTTCTTTTAGATCTGCGTTCAGGAAAGTGAATCAATGCAAAGAAAAGTATTAAGAAAATTATTATATGAGTGACTAGGCAGACACCACAATTTGTTGGGTGGTGGTGCTCCAAAGACTGCAGACCTTGGCCTGAAAAAATGACCTGAATTAACATTCTTTCAGTGTTTATTTCCCAGGTGCCATTTCTGACCTCAAGTCCAAAAGTCTCAGCTCTTAGCTGCCAGGGGAATTGGGAGGGGCATTTGTCTATGATTGGGCCAAAGTGTTAAGATACATGAGTGTCCTTTGAGGTCAGCATGGCGATGGCAACAGTGCCTGGAAGGAGGCCTCAAAGGGAAGGTGCAACATGGGGCAGAGCAAAGTCTAAGGCGGGGCTCGCCTCCAGGGGGATGATTTCCTACAGCCTATCCTCGGAAGCCCTGACTTTGTCTTTGTTAAGGAAAATGGGCTTCCTGATCCCTCTGTGGATCTAAATAAAAGTGTTTGTGGGCTCAAGGGGTTCCCATGCTAGTTGGGGAGAAAGTGGAGAAACTCCTACGTCTTGCTGAGGGTGGAATGAGACAGAGGCTGGACCAAAGCACATGTGACATATCCAGAAGAAAGCATCATGAATTCTGAGAGGTAATCAGGGAAGGCTACCTGAATGAAGTGGCATTTTAATAACATCTTGAAAAGTGAGCTAGGCAAAGCATGTGGCTCAGGGCATTCCCTCAGAATGCCCAGAGCCCCCTTCCAGGGGAGAACCTGGGATTTGGAGTCAGACAGACCTGGGCTTGATTCTTGGCTCACCCCTAGACTAGCTGCATAACCTTGGACCAGTCACTCCACCTTTGTTTGCTCGTAGGTAGAATGGGCACTGAGACAGGGGCTGTCTGTCTTGCTGCCTCTGGCAGACTCCAGGGACTAAACCTCCCCAGGGTCTAATTGGTGGGAGTCCTCCCGCTTTTCCCTGCAGGAAGTGAGAGGCTGCCGGGGAACAGCTCCAAGTTGTAACTTAAGGCCCTGTGTTGCATGGGTTTGCTAGAGCTTGAGCCTGAGATGGGGACTCTTAGGCGTGTGGTTTATTAAAGAAGGGCTCTTAGGAGAAACCTGTAAGGAAAGGAGAGGAACAGGACAGGGTGGAGGAAGGATAAGGCAGGCAAAGTTTCGATTTCAGAAGTCTCTGAACATGATCCTACCGGAAGCCCTGGAGTAAGAATTCCCTCCCAGAGATTGTCCCATCCACTGGCAAGAGTGCTTCCCTGTTGTATGTGCACATCAGTGGGTCATGAGCTATGGGCTGCCCCGGGAAGGTGGGAGGTAAGCTCGAAGCCATCAATGACTGAGGTAACTCCCCTGAGCCCAGGACAACCCTTCAGAGAAGGGTGCAGGTGTGACCAGCCAACACCTCTGCGTGGGGCACCAACAACATCTGCTACTGGCCTCTCTGTGTTGGGGAAATAGGAGCAATTTTCTCCTACTGCTGTGGTTTCCAATCTTATGTGCTGGGTTGGCCAGATGAAGGAATAGATCCAAGGGAGGGCCCAGGCAACCTTGGCCTTTCCTGTGGGGGGACAGTCATGGGTGACATCCTACCACAAGGTGGGCTGTGAACCAAGAGTGGAAGATTGGCATTGGCTCAGGCAGGCAAGCAAGGGGCTGGCAGGATCTGGTGGGCCCAGGTTTTCAGTAGCCCATCAAACAGACAAATGAATATTTGATAGAAATATAATTCCAGAGAATGAGGGCTCCTATCAGCCCGCTTGTGAAATACCGTGGCTGGCTGACCTCTTGGAGGGATAAATCTGCCCAGCGGTATTTTCCAGCCTGAAACATGAAAGCCCTTCTGATGAAGCTTTTTCTGGAAGAGCTTAAACGCTTAGCATGGGTATGTTTACTATCTGGTGGGTCCCTGGGAGTCCAAGGTCATCCTGGTCGTGGCTTTTCACCTTGCCCCAGGCATGCCTCTGTGCCATTCCGGTACCCTGGGCTAACTGCCGCTGTGGGGCTGCAATGAGCAGAGGCCAGCACTGAGAGGGAGGGACAGAAAGTGGCTGCTTCTTTCTCCTGGGCCTTGTTAAAGGAAAAAGGGTCAATAGTGTAATAGTTACCAGCATGGGGTGGGCGGTAGGGATGGGCAGACCTGGGTAAGAATCCTGACACCGGAACTGCCCAGCTATGTGACCTTGGCTAGGCTACCTACCTTCTTTGGACTCAGCTTCTTCGACTACAACATAGGTAGCAAATAATTGTGCCTACCTCATAGGGCTGTGGGATATTAAGTGGGTGAATGCATCTAAAGTGCTTTGCAGGGTGCCTGGCACGTAGTCAGCACTCAGTGAAGGTCAGCTATCATGACAGCATAACAATGATCTGACTATAGGCCTACCACTAGCTAGCTGTGTGCTCTTGAGCAAACCATGTGAGCGCTCTGGGCCTCAGTTTCCTCATCTGTAAAATGGGTCCAAGTATACCTACCTCATAGATGTAAGGATGGTAGGGGTTGAATACAAAGCTCCTGGCCTATGTAAGGTGCTCAATAAATAATGACAGTGCCAGTGATGACGATGATGAAACCAAAGATAGGTTTTAACAATAGGGTATTAAGCCTCT